GTAGACTGGATCCCTCACAACGTCAAAGTGGCCGTTTGCGACATCCCACCACGAGGTCTCAAAATGGCCTCCACCTTCATCGGAAACAACACCGCCATCCAGGAGATATTCAAGCGCATTGGAGAGCAGTTCACGCTCATGTTTCGACGCAAGGCCTTCCTGCACTGGTACACGGGGGAGGGCATGGATGAGCTGGAGTTCACCGAGGCCGAGAGCAACATGAATGATTTGGTTTCAGAGTACCAGCAGTATCAGGATGCCACCGCCGATATGGATTACGATGCAGAAGATGAAGAGGCAGAAGAGGAGGGTCTGTCATCAACAGCACACAGCACTCGAGTGGAGATTAAGACTGAAGCAGTCATTGAAACGTCTGTCAGCGAATGACACGTGAGCTTCAGTGAATATAGCAAGAGTGGATCTGATTGTGTGAAGAGTGAGAACATTCAGTGGCCCCAAAAAGTATTTAGACACTTAAGATACAGTTAAAACTGATATATGAGTTATACTGCATTAGAAAAAATGTTTGGCTTGAAAGGTGCGCTTTTTAAATAAAACTTTTTATATATATATATTTCATGTAATTAAATGACAATGTGCCTTAAAGGTGCAATGTGTAATATTTACAACGATCTATTGACAGAAATGCAATATAATATACATAACTATGTTTTCAGAAGTGTATAAAGACCTTACTTAATTAACCGTTATGTTTTTATTACCTTAGATTGAGCAATTTCTATCTACATACACCGCGGGTCCCCTTACATGGAAGTCGCCACCATGTTTCTACAGTAGCCCTAAACGGACAAACTGCTCTACAGAGTGCGTTTCGTCACTTTGTTGTTCTTGCCAATAAAACACTGACACAATGATGAACAAGTACATTAACATTCGCAATAACATCGATCTATTGAATGATTAAGTAAATATAATTCCTTAATTTACCTTTGTAAAGAAATCTCATTGCTCTCTGCTGTCTTTACCGACGACATCTTTACCTGTGTCGGCCACCGTAGCTTCTCTAAAGGGAGGGGTGAGCGGGGGACTGAGCTGTTGGTCGGCGTTCAAATTTACACACTGCACCTTTAAGTGTTCAGATACTATTTGGAGCCACTGTTCATAGCAAACTGTGAAATATCTCTGACCTCCAGGAGGAAATTATGAATTACATGAATACATAACAATAGGATATATTCTAAATTCAAATATAATTTTCTAATATTTCCTATTATATATATTTTCAAATGTTTGGGGTCGATATGTTTTTTAAAAAGTCTCACCAAGGCTGCATTTATTTAATAAAATATATTTTATGAAATGTATTTTATTTCTGTGATGGAAAGCTAAACGTTCAGAAATAAAATTGTTTATCATCAATGCTGAAAACAGCTTTCAGGATTTGATGAATAGAAAGTTCAAAAGAACAGCGTTTATTTGAATGTATAAATGTTTGATCAATATAATGTATCCTTATCAAGTAAAAGTATTCATTCCTTTAAAGAAACTATCTCACTGACCACAGACCTTTGAACGGTAGTATATAGTTTATAGTAAAGCTTAATTTATATAAAGATATCAAAAAATGAATCTATATTGTTGTGTAACATCACTGGAGAACACAAAACAATTTCTGTATGTTCTGTAATGAATGAATCTATAGATGTCTTGAGAAAAATACAGGAGAAAACAAGACAGTCAAAACCTTTTTCTTTTGTGTGATGTACTAGTTCTATATAGACGCTTACATTTTTGTCATTATTTGTCAATATTTAAAAAATGCTACATTTTTGAATTTTGTCAATTTTGCTTATCCTTTGAAAGCGTAAGATACAAAATGATTTTACCAATATAAACTGCAACTGTTTCATAATAAATTTGATGTATCTGCATTGTACTTGAGCATTTATAGTGCTAAAAACTTTCATGTGTTTACCATTTATGTAATGCATCCATCAGTTTTCTTGCAAAATGTATTAAAAGAAAATGTTTTGGATATCAGCAAGAGACTAAACTACTCCATTTGTGAATCTAAGGGGTTTCACTGTACACATCTAAATAAAATAAGATTAATCTCGGAAAATCTTGCTGTTTTGTTCATGTAAAATAATAGTTATCATCTCTACACAGTTAAACCTGATGTACACCACCTTCCTTGCAGAACCTGAGAAGTATTAGTTAAACACACTGTAAATATTGAAAGGCCAACTTTGCACACATCTTACGCGGAGATCATACTAAACGCTACATTTACTACAGGACTGCAAACCGGTAACAGTTTTAGTGTCTCTTCTACCGATGCTCTAAAACCCAGACATAACCAGTACTACTCAGAAGTCAAACTGATCTGATAGAGTAACATGACAATACACCCAGTTTCCTCAGCGAACACCTGCTAAACAGAAAACTCTTTAGAATAAAAACACACCAAGTGAAGACCGTCTTCGTTTGAGACTCTTCATAATTTATTATCAAAAGAACACAGCTCTTTTCATTTAATCATCATAACTGCAGGTCTTCTTGTAAATCCGACGGAGAAGGTATGTGGAGAAGTGGGGATTGAAGGATGTAACGACAGATCCTACGAAGTATTAGTTAAACACACTGTAAATATTGAAAGGCCAACTTTGCACACATCTTACGCGGAGATCATACTAAACGCTACATTTACTACAGGACTGCAAACCGGTAACAGTTTTAGTGTCTCTTCTACCGATGCTCTAAAACCCAGACATAACCAGTACTACTCAGAAGTCAAACTGATCTGATAGAGTAACATGACAATACACCCAGTTTCCTCAGCGAACACCTGCTAAACAGAAAACTCTTTAGAATAAAAACACACCAAGTGAAGACCGTCTTCGTTTGAGACTCTTCATAATTTATTATCAAAAGAACACAGCTCTTTTCATTTAATCATCATAACTGCAGGTCTTCTTGTAAATCCGACGGAGAAGGTATGTGGAGAAGTGGGGATTGAAGGATGTAACGACAGATCCTACAAAAAAAAAAGCAGAGAAGACAATCAATTTGAACAACACAGGTTTTAAAAAAGGTCCAAGTTAATGCATCGTTTTTTACAAGTGCTGTAGAGCTTAGATAAACAGCTGACATTTTAACTCACATTATACAGTCTTCACTTTAGTGACCTTCACATTGGATTCTGCGTTTTTAATCGCCTCAGTTTTCAACTGTGGCTTGAGTGCAGCCCGCACGACCCTGGCGCAGACAGCCGAGTACCTGATGTAACTGAAATAACAAGACACATATTAAGTCACTGAATAGCTTAAAATTGCTCGTGTGAGTATATGACCACTGTGATTCACATTCAACATGATGCTAGTATTACTACAGTAGCAGGCCAAACCAGCTCTACAGCACAGATTACAGAGCGTACAGCAATTAAAATACTACGTTCACAGCTTTTGACGTTGTTAACTGTCATTCATTTACCTCAGTCCTGCTTGTCTCCAGTAAGCAACCATTTTTCCTCGCAAATGTGTGTCTTAGGTCCGTCAAATGCTGCGACTCGCGCTGATCAAGGACGAGAGAAAACAAGGCCTGTGCGTCCGCCGGAATATACGTCACAAGCCAGCGTACAGTCTCATTGGCTGGCAAACACGCCACTCCTCATCATAGATATGTGTACGCCTGGGCTGCGTTCAGCCCCGACAAAACGTTGCAGAACGTGTTTTAAACGGAAACGGTGGTGCGTTGAACACTCTGCTCTGCTGACGCAAGAGTTGCAACTATGGCAGCTGAGAAGGCCATTCTTTGTGTTCTTTTTGAAGAATTTCCGGAGCCTGATGAAATCAGTATAAGGCCCTTTCGCACCACTTTAGTTCCAGAACTAAATGTACGGTACTAAAGTACTGGGATGATTTTGCGCTAACTATTTCCCAGTACCATTTAAAGGGTTGCATTCGCACTGAGAGTGTGTACTAAGAAGTGACGTAAGCCGGTCGACAGCGTCGTTCAACAACAGAAACAAAGAACTACGTTAACAACAGGAGAATGGAGGATGCTGGTTCTTGCTCTTGTGAATTTATTTGGATGTTAATTGCATTGTGCGAGCTGTCTCTTTAATAGCGCGTGGTTTACATACATGTTGCTGCTGATTGGGCTGACATGTTTGACACACCCACCAAACAAGAGAAAACCGCATCTCAAACCCCGTTGCACACCGTTTCCAGGAAACATGTCGTTCAAACCGGAAACCGTAGCAAAACGGTGCACACCGCTTTGAGCTTGAACTTACCCCTGTTTGTACGCTCATCATACTGTCCTGGAATTGAACCAATCACCGCAGTTTAATGATACAAAATGCACATTAACCATGAACTAGTTGAGTAAAATTTCAAAATAAAGAGTGTATTCTGTGTATGAATATTTGAATTATAGGTAAATTCCACAAATTCGGCATTTTTGGCAATTTTTTAATTTTTGGCATTTAAACTGTGTTATATATAAAATATGAATTCATTAATCTCTCTCTTAATCGCAATATACAGTATATTTATGAATCCCCTTATGCTGCTTGGATTAATTGTGTTGAACAATAAGGTTAATAAAGGTTAACAAATTAAGTACATTTTTATTTCTTACTTTTAAACATTACCTGAGGATTATACATGAAGAAGGTTCTTTTATTTTGTAGCAATGCCCGGATTGACGAATGGTTTGTTGCAGTTTGTTTGCATAAGATTTCATATCACCCGATGCTTATTGTTCATATATACTTACGACCTATAATATTAATAATAATAATAATAATACTTTGTACAATAGCAATTTTTGCGTTTACATTCATAAACCCCTACGTTATAGTTTAAAATCAAGAATAACATTTCATAAAATTGTAAGAATTACTTTTATGTATATGGGACCCCCTGGTAATATATTAATAGTTGTAGAATGTAATATCTTCTTATTCGTAATCATGACGGAGTGGAGACGCTCGATACGTAATGACGTGAGTCACGTTCTTGTGACGTGATGATGTCATGCGGCCTGGGTTAGAGAGGCGGAAGCAGAGAAAACAACAACAAGCCTGTCGGTGTCCCGTCTACACCAGTAGTCAAAAACCAGTCTAATATCACTCCTTGCTGTCGTCCCGAGGGCAAGATGTCTTTGTTTGGGAAGTTGTTTGGTAGCAGCGGAAAAGGGGGCAAATCTTCAAGCCCCCAAGAGGCTATCCAGCGACTGCGAGAAACAGAAGAAATGTTGACCAAGAAACAAGAATTCCTGGAGAAGAAGATCGAACAGGAGCTTGTAACGGCCAGGAGAAACGGCACGAAGAACAAACGAGGTGAGTTACCTGGCATAGATTAGCTGGTTAACTCAGGTTAGTTTGGCACTGTGGTTGTTACTGCTTCGTTAGTTTAGCGTTGTTTTATGTTGGCCTGTTATACAAAGGAATTCATTCTTGTAACTGAAAAAATGTCATTAACAGACTAATTACCAGGGCTAGACTTTTACTAAAACACATGAGAGCTGTCGTTGAGAAAGCTGGGAAATGGAATGATCTAGGGATAGATTTTAGAACGAAAATTTGCTTTATAATTTTAATAATTCTTTCAGGATGCTTGGGATAGACAGATAAAATGTTGTAGTCCTCCATCAGTTAACATTTGACCTATCCTTGTGTCCATGGTGATGATAAACATGTACTTCATGTTGGTTGACTCCGAGAACAAAATACTGGAAATAATATACAAAATTATCCACAGGTGTTCAATTGCAAATGCAGCCTTTAGTAAATATATCCATACTGATAAATGTACTTTCTGCAACACATCAATTAAAGATATTAAACTTTTTTTTGGATTGCCCTTTCTTTCTCTCATTTTGGAGAGAATATGTTTTAAAAGCCTTCCATTTAGAACCTGAAGATATTTGACTTTATTTACAAAGTAAACATTTTCTGAATAAGAAAATTACTCCAATAATCTTTTAGCAATTTTAGCAAAATTGTACAAGTCAAGAATAATTAAAAAAGTCTCATATATTACCTTCTGTAACAGGGATAAGATATACTTTTAAAACCCTTTAAAAAATAAGAACACAAAAAATAAAATTACAACAATTAAAAAATTAATATTTTAAAATTAATGCAGCTGTCCAAATGTTAACTTTATTGTTTGTATGTTTTTTTAAATTACTTTTGTTGTTGTTTTTCTTCTTTATTTGACATTCTCTGAACTAATTAAATAATGCTCTCTACTTAAATACATTCTGTATTTGACTGTTATTACTGAACTAAATACATAAAAAAGGACTGAAAACTGCCCATCTGCTCAAAACCTGGAAAAAAACTCCTACTTTATCATGGTTTACATTAGTGTCATATTCAGGGTGTGCAAATATAATGATGTAAGTGCAGTTACAATACGTATATTTATAAGTCTGTATTTCTTCTGTCCCATCGATGCTACTAGAGTTGTCCAAATCCAGAGATAGCTCCATAAATAATTTCAGGGCAATATAAGGACCACTGTAAAGAGCCGTCTAGGTTGTAAGGCCTGTAATACAACTCCACATTTAAAGTCCCCAGAACAGAGGTAATCAATAATTGATCTGATTATCCTGTGAGGGCCGCTGGAACATGGTGGTTTTGACTGCTAGGGGTGTGGGACTGATGTTTTGTCATAGTTTACAATTCCAATGTCTTCATGGAAAAAGTGTTTAATCTGCGTGACCTTTGTGTCAGGTGACGTCTTTGGAATGCCCCTTTTAAACTGCACATGACGTAAGAGTCTGTTGAGGGTTTTATTGTATTGCAAACCTGATAAATTAAGGTTACATTCCATAAATTGCACAAACACAGCTGCTGTTTTGTCTTCTACAAATAAATTGACAACTCAAATCATTGTTTTGACAGAGTATAAAATTTTAATCTGTAGAAAGTAAAAATGGAACGTTGTGTTTGGTATACTGACAATTTAGTCTGAATTATTATATATATATATTTGTTCGCATTATGACAATTATTATGTTTCAAATGTAATTTTCCAGTGTCATCCTGATTTTCAAAAAAAAAAAGAAGGATAATTGAAAGGCAATTTCTACTGTGACAGAATTTTATTAGGTTGTTTTTTAAAATAGGTCTATAGTTTCAATGCATTTTAATTGTTAGTTTTAGTTATTTAACTAAAGTACTTCAACTAAATGGAAATGGCTAGAGTACTAGTTGAAATAAAATAAGTTACACTTTTTAAAATATTTTATTTTAGTTCAGTTATTTTATTCAGTTATTATCTATATTATTTCAAGTAATGAAAATGTTTTTAATGGGTTTTAGTTAACGATAATAACCCTGCTTATAAACACATAAAAACTTAAATAATACTTTTATTATTTTGAGAGTGAGAATGGGCAGATCTTTTTTTTGTTTTTTTGTTTAAATGTTACAATACAAACACATTATAATGGTCCTAAAATAGGTTTACCGACTTGGTGCAAAATATAATCTTTCACTTTTTTTTTTTTTTCTTGGCCGGCTTTGCAGGATTCAAACTTTACAAGAAAAGCATGTCTGTACTGATGTGCTTGTCATTAATTCATTATTAGGCTGCCAATCACATTCTCCCTACAAAGCAACACTTTTTTCTCTTTTTTTGCAGCTCACTTGCCTGATTAAGTTTGGTGAGTGTGCCTCATTTAGGAGTCCCTAACTCTGCACCACTGCTTCCCTGAGAAATATTAACAGTAGTAGACTTTACTTTCCATGGTAAAACCCTAATCAAATCTGTTGGATCAGAGACCTCACAATTTTAATTTAGTATTGAGAATCTCACGCTGTGGGCTTTCCATCTTACTTTTACTGTACATATATTTTCCATGCAAACACTTTCTTACCAAAGCCACTTGACAATATAGTGCACAAACCACATTACTGGGTAACAGGAGGACTTATAATGCATGACGCTTACTGTGCTAAATCTTAACTGAAATAAAAGGGGCTTCAAATTAAACCAATTGACCCATAATTTTTACATAGTGTTCTCTTTAACTCTTTTAAATAAAACCACACTTAATACTATGCAATACTTTTCTATAGGGTTCCAAAATTCTCTTATTTTGCACTTTAATGGCTTTACCTTTCTTTCTGTTTGAAACAGCTGCATTGCAGGCACTGAAGCGTAAGAAGCGCTATGAGAAGCAGTTAGCTCAGATTGATGGCACTCTTTCTACCATCGAGTTCCAGCGAGAGGCGCTAGAGAACGCTCACACCAACACCGAGGTCATCAAGAATATGGGCTTTGCTGCTAAGGCCATGAAAGCTGCCCATGACAACATGTGAGGAGCTTCTCTTCTATTATCATTGTTTTCTTCCCTTTTTGTATCAGCCTCTCTACGGCAAGGTTTTGGGTTTATGAGATCTTAAACAAGATTAGTTTACCAGTGAGAGCTATTAGGATTCTGTATGGCACTTTGATATAGGATATATGTAAATTTGTACTTTCAGGGACATCGACAAAGTGGATGAACTCATGCAGGACATCACAGAACAGCAGGAGCTGGCGCAAGAAATTTCAGACGCAATCTCAAAGCCTGTCGGGTTTGGGGAGGAATTCGATGAGGTAAGATTAAAACAAGCAAACTCCACATTCATGATGAACCTTCACCTGCTGAGCTTTTGGGAGATTTCCATGTGCTTTCACAAAGGTGTCGTTTACTCCCGCTATTAACATCTAATTTGGGTGAACTGATCACAAGTGGACCGCACTGAATACTGGTCTAAATGGGTCTAGTTCATTTATAAGGATGTTAGCACATGTTATAAAATGCTCATGCAACAACATCAAAGATCCGCTTACTCATTAAGGACACAATATTTGTGCAGAAATCACATTTTAAACCTGTTAGGTGCAAGCTTAATTTGAGGTAAGATTTTTTTTTTTTTATGTTTAAAGAAACATTTCTTTAAGAAAGCCCTCCAAATAATAATCAACACAGTCCAAAAATCACTGGCTGCTCACTACCCTCCCTGGAAAGCATTGCTCGCTCCCATTATCTCTCAAGGGCCAAAAACATCATCAAGGACACATCCCATCCAGGACATCACCTGTTTAATCTTCTGCCCTCAGGCAGGCAGTACAGATCCTTAAGAGCAAAAACCACTCGCTTACAGAACAGTTTCTTCCCAGTTGCTATTAGGACTTTAAACTCATAAATGCACTAATGTTAAAATACTATTCCAACCACGTTATTCTTTTAACTACAGTCACTTATTTCATTCAAATCTCTTCTGTCTGTACTGCTGCTATACAACATGCTATATACAATATTGTACAATACGCAGTATGTCAATCTGCAATACCACTGTCTGAACACTTTATTTATCAGAACTTCAAACAATGCACTATATAGTATTTCAGGGTGAAATACCATATCTGGTTACTAAATGTGAACTCTATATCTGCAGTAAAGGTGCAATAATATATGTGCAATAATATGTCAATGTGCAATACTATCTCTAGTCACTAAATCACCACAGTTACTCATTCCATTTAAATTGTACTTTTGTATAAACGTACTGTGCATATCAGTGTGAAGGCCAACGTGCAATACTATAAATGGTCACTTTACTCAGATTGCTCAATGTGAATATCATGACTCAGACACTTGTTGTGTTTACTTGTAAAATTGTACTGTACAGTCTTATAGTCTTATTTATTGTCTGTGGTTATATGTTTGTTTTTCTAACACCAGTCAGGAGCAGTGCTCCTAATTTCCTTGTATGCAGAAAAATACAATGACAATAAAGGCATTCGATTCAAATTCAATTCAAGTCACTAATATTCACTAATGCTGCATTTATTTGATCAAAAATACAGTAAAAACAGTGATATTGTTACAATTTAAAATAACTTTTTTGTTTTTTTAATATGCTTGTGATGCAAAGCTGCATCATTACTCTTCAGTGTCTTCTTTCAGAAATCAGTCTTAATATGCTGATGTGTTGCTCAAGAAACATTTCTTATTATTATCAATGTTGGAAACAGTTGTGCTGCTTAATATTTTTGTGGAAACCATGCTACATTTTTTTTCAGGATTCTTTAATCAGAATAAACATTTATTTCAAATAGAAATCTTTTGCAACATTATAAATGTCTTTGCTGTCTCTTTTGATCAATTTAAAGGGGTCCTATTACACTCTTTTACAAAGTCTTGATTTTGTTTTGGGGGTGTACTTGAACAGGCTCTCATAGGTTGGGGGTGCGTGTTAAAAATAAATAAATGAAAATTTTGTAACAAAAAATAAATTTTATTAATTTGTATATTCATTAAAATTCATAGAAAAAATAGCCTAAGCCTACAGTGACGATAAGCAACAGTAAAACATGAATTAAGTTGAATCAAATTGATTGTGAAAGTCGTTTCAACTTAAACTGACTTAGGAAGTCGTTTGTTGCCATGACTTTTTGATCATATTATTACCTGTAACATGTCTGTGCTGGACCCAAATCAAGAATTAACGACCATTTCTACAGCCATTGCGAAGATACAACCGAGAAAGACCGAGAGCGTCTATTACCTCAGCAGCAACCAATAATAATATCAATCTCGCATTCTCGCTTCTACAGCACTTATTTTGATATTTAACGTTAGAACTTTCATATTCTTGGAACAAAATGAATGCTTAAGGTTGATTCAGTATTACTCTTAATGAAAAAAAAAAAAGCCCACACACAACATCAGCAATACTACAATGACAAAGTAGCTTATATTAAACATAAAACTTTTATTAACAGAACAAATAAGACATACCCGCGTTGTAACAAATAAAAAAAAGGTTTTATTAATAATATTAATAATAATTATTAATAATAATACAATAAAACAGTACGATGACAAATTTACTTATATTAAACTTTGAACTTTTATTAACAATATGAATAAGGTAAATATGTTTTACCCGCATTTTAACACAAATAAATAAACGGTCTTTGGATTTCCCCTTTTTTTAAAACAATCGTAGTTTGTGGTTCATTATTAGCCTATTAATTAAAACACATCAGCCATAAAATAGTACAATGGCAAATTCGCATAGGCCTATATTAAACATCTAACTTTTATTAACAAAATTAATAAGACGGATATAGTCTACTTGTGTTGTAGGCCTACCCCAAATAAATAGGCCTAAGGTCTTTTCCTTCTTTTAAAACAAGTGGTTCATTGTTTTATTTATTTATTTTTAATGAAAACAGCAACAATAAAGACAAAACTCGCTTATATTAAACAAAGAAATTAAACTTTTATTAACAAAAGGTGCGCTTTTGGATCATAGTGTCTCGCATCATTCTCGTCACGTGACCAAACCCCTCCTGCTCAAAATACGTTCCTACGGCTATGTGCGAGCTTCAGTGTAAATATTGCGTCAAAATCAAATCAATTTGAGCATGATTTAAACCCGGATGATTGTAACCACTCTAAGTTCGTCTGCCTTGGGAAAACTAGCGTGTCTCCGACATAGTGATAAAACTCGTTGCCTTTTCTAGTGCAGCTCAACCAGGTCTCGTCCCATTCGTCGATATTTGTGATATCACAAATCCCGGAAAATATGTGTTGTAGTCCAAACGAGTCGTTCGTTGTAGTTTTTGAAAATTTCTGTTAAATAAAATATCAACTTTTGAAGTGGAGCTTTGTAACTTTGCAGATCTTTTTTATGCTCAAACAGCAACATTACAGACTAACTAAAGTTTAAAAAGTGAAAAAGCATAATAGAACCCCTTTAATGCAGATTTGCTGAATTATTATTTTTTTTTTTCACAAAAAAAATAAAATTGAGATGCATGTTAATACTAGTCATAAAGAGATGTTGTGTTGTTTCAGGATGAGCTGTTAGCTGAACTAGAGGAGCTGGAGCAGGAAGAGTTGGATAAGAACCTCCTGGAGATCGGAGACAATGTACCACTGCCAAACGTGCCCTCTACATCCTTACCTGCCAGACCAGGTACTAAACACACACACACACACACACACACACACACACACACACACACACACACATACATTCACATACATTCACATACATGGTGTTTGGAAACAACACCCGCGCGCTATACACTCTCCTGCCAGACCCGGGACGAAACACACACACACACACACACACACACACACACACACACACACACACATACATTCACATACATTCACATACATTCACATACATGGTGTTTGGAAACATAAGTCTCCTGATAGCTAGTTTTGTAAGTATTATAGTATTATAATGTGTTATAAATGTGGCTATAATTATCCATGAGATCATATGATTTTTGCGTTACAAGGCATAATTAATGCATTAAAACTACTTAAAGTAAAGTGTTAACATATTTTCTTGCTAAACCTACTATAATAGTTGTTTTATTTACAACTTGGAAAAATATGTTTTATAGTGTATGTGTGATTTTATTCATTTTATTTGTATTTATTTGTTGTTGTTGAAATTGTTCATAAAGAAATAATTTACTTGAAAAACATAACCTTTGTATTAGTAACAGGTACTTCACATGACATATTAAGTCATTTCTGGTCATTTTGGTGCTGCAAATCTCTTGTATTAAAAGCAGTTCTTGAATGTCTTTCATAAATGCAGCAAAGAAGAAAGAAGAAGAGGATGAGGATGACATGAAAGACCTGGAGGCGTGGGCTGCCAATTAATGCTTCCCGAAACCCATACACGCTATACAAGGCATAAACCTCACTCCAATACCTGTTACTAAAGGACCTGGAAGGATTCTTCAGTATGTTACAGTATGACGTCTTTGTGTCTAAAATAGGTTCATATTTAAACACACACGAGAGGAAAACAAACATAAATGCAACTGCTAAAAAAAAAAAAAAGAAGACAAATCTCCGCCAGGCTTTCGGTCAACACACTCATCTAAGCAAGTCTGAGATTTTGCCTCGTTTCTCCTCATCTCTGGACTGTTCAGACATGACAAAAGGCTTGTTGTAGATCAGTGTTTGTGTGTTCGGCACTCCATTATCTGTAAAAGTAGTCATATATTTTCAAGCTTCCATCACAAGGAATCCTCCGCTTGGTCCGAGAAACCAATACTCACAGAAACCCTCTGCACGCAGGGGAAAGTGTCTGTAACGATCTGTCGTGTTTTTGGAGAGAACATGTGGTATTTTACAAATTCATTTGTTCGCAAGTTCTGTTAAAAGCACTGTAAGCCCCTTTTGATTCTGTGCATCAAGCGTTTCAGTGCAGGTGCTTCCCACGTCCAATATCCACAGCGCCCACGGGACGTCCTAGATCAGAACTTAGGCTTTATGAGTACAAGTCTTGCTCTCCGTTTCGGGACTGAGGTGGGCATGAAGTTTGAGTGCTGCTGCAACTGTAAGGCTTTTACTGTACATAGCATCTCTCTTTAATGGCATGCCGTTTTACGGTCTCCTGACAGCATGGGATTCCTATATGGAATAGGTCTCTTCACTCGAGAAACATGTACTGTATTTGAGATATTTCAGAAATACCGGCTACTGATTCTAAGATATCTTTTCACTTGAAGTGGTTTTTTGAACCTGAGTGTTGTATTAGGGGGAAAACGACAAGGTTTGTTGTAGATTTCAGATTGTTGTCTTATATTTGAGGTGTGAACGCATTCAAACAGATTTGTACAGACAGGACAGACTGCACAGATTATTGTAATATCATGCTTTATTTTACAGAGTGCACAATTATGATGTTCTGGCACATTGGTTTTATTAATTTTCCTCTCCTGAGAGTCTATAAAACATTTGAGTATTGAAAATTGAGAGGTGAGAGAAGCACTAAACTTATCGGACTCGGAAAGTTTCATTGACGTTTATTGTTTGTTTGTCTTTTCGACACTCTTCATTTATGTTGTCCTTCTCTGCCTTTCAACCTTACACCTGCATTAAAGTTTTGCCCAATTAACACCTCTGGATTTTTATTTGCGCAATAGATATTCCTTCCGTTGTTTGCCTAATATTTATTTCTTTATGCACTTCACACAGCATCACGGTACATTCACACGAGGCGTCGGCGTCGACGCTTGATGGAGGGCGTTTCTTTTAAAGGGGTCATATGATGCTGCTAAAAAGAACATTATTTTGTGTATTTGGTGTAATGAAATGTGTTTATGTGGTTTAAGGTTAAAAAACACATTATTTTCCACATACTGTACATTATTGTTTCTCCTCTATGCCCCGCCTTTCTGAAACGTGTCGATTTTTACAAAGCTCATTGGCCTGAATAAGCAAGGTGTGCTCTGATTGGCCAGCTATCCAGTACTCAGCTTCGTCCACGGTGAAAGCCGATTCGGCGATAGAGAGCGTGAAGTTAGTATTTCCTCAGTGACCAGCACGAATCAGCTCTAGGCATGACGAAGCGGATATCGTCCTCTTTTGGAAGGCCAAACAAAGTAGTTTCGCTTTCACAATGAAACACACAGTGCCTTCACGACATGGCGGCGGCAACAATACTACAGCGAGAATAAAAGTTACGCCTTCTTTCTTTGTGTGAACATTTGGGCGGCGTTATGCAAATCTTCCCACATAGTGACGTAGACATGTGGGGGCGTGTTAGAACGAGCCGTTTTAGGTAGGCGTGGCTGACTCTTAAGTCTCTTGACTCTTGACTTAAGACTCTTGACTCTGGTCTGCACCAGGGTATTTGCATAAGGCGATCTGATTGGCTGACGCCTGCGTTGGCGCTTGAAAAGTTGAAAAGTGTAAGCAACGGACCCACAGTTCATATCGGCAACGCTTGACGTCACTCCATTCAAAGTAAACGAGAGGCGTTGACGCAGTGCTCACCTTGAAAATGTGTTTTTGTCTATTGAATATGAATTTGTAGAAACAGTGTCCAGGTAGGAGAATGCCCACTGGTCCATTACAAGCATACAGTCAGTAATCTTTCAGAGACAACCAATGGAATATGTTATGGTGCTTTTCTGTTTCTTTCTTGCAGTGGAAAGGAAAATTAAGGCTTTGAAGCAACATGCTGTCTGTAATAATGCAAACTGATTTGTATAGGATGTGAAAGACGAAGCTTTAATACATTTGTATGTTTTCATTATCTTGTAGGTGCTGGATTTATCATTGTTATAGCATTATCGTTATAATCTCACTTATTATTGTTATTAAAATATGTTGACTGAGTTTCTATTGGTCCTGGTACATGACTTAAAGAATTCAACTAAAATGAGGCTTCAATACAGTAAGAGCACTTATGTGAAAAATAAATACATATACATTTCCATTTAAAAGTTTGGGATCAGTAAGATTTGTTAAAATGTATGAATACAAAAATAAATGAATTAAAAGTGACAATAAAGAAATGTTGAAAAAGATTTCTATTTCAAATAAATTCAGAACTTTCTGTTCTTAAAAGGTTCCTGAAAAAATGTATCAGTTTCTACAAAAATATTAAACAGCACAACTGTTTTTAACATTAATAATAGGTAGAAATGTTTCTTGAGCAGCAAATCAGCATATTAAAATGATTTCTGAAGGATCATGCGACACTGGAGTAATGATGCTGAAAATTCAGCTTTAACATCACAGGAATAAATTACGTTTTAAAATACATTGAAATAAAATAGTTTTTAAAAATCGCTGTTTTATAATAATATTTCACAATATTACTGTTTTTACTGTATATTGGATCAAATAAATGCAGCCTTGGTGAGCATAAACTACTCTCAAATTTCTTTAAAAAAAATGGTACGATTCGGAACTTTTGAAATATGAAACTTGAATATGAAAATGAAAATATTTTAAATATTATTTCACAACATTACTACTGTATTTTTGAACAAATAAATGTAGTGCTGGAGAGCATAAGACTTTCAAAAGCATTAACAAATCTTACCGATCCCAAACTTAGTTAGTCTAAGTAATAATCTACCTCAACCTTTAAATTCAGATTGGTCAGTTGCACAATTCTGAACTCATACCATCCATTACACATTTAAGAATTGTATGATTGACAGAGTGTTTAGTAAATATGTCAATGATATGTAAATCTTCAGTCTTTCAGACATATTTCATCACACAAACCAGACAATTTCAGATATGGGGATAAACATGGGGCATATTTTCAGGACATATTGAATTGACTTTATACAGGGGGCCCTAGTGTTATCCAAATAACCCAAAATGACCCCTGTTCAACTGAAACTGTTCATAGTAGCTCTAATTTATAGATATTTTACAAAAATAAATATATTTAGTGAAATTCCTATAAATTCCCAAAAAAATTCCAAAAAGCATCTTTCTTCCCACCAGCTCAGATCAGTCCTCATGATGTTAAATAATGGTAAAACACAAAGGCCAGTTGAAATTGTATTAATGAAGATCTCCATTTTCCAAGTGATATTACACGCCTTAAACCACCGTGGATTCTCATTGGCTATCGTAGGAGCAAATGAACACGCCCACGATGGTTTATTTAGAGCGATAAGGCGGGGCATATTTCGGCCAATGAGAAACGAGAGGCTGCACGATATCATGAATATTACATAAATCGGTTTGTACACACTTATATTCAAGTTCACACAAGTTACCTCCTTTTCTGCACTCACTCAGGTCCACAGTCGGGCTCAAGACCAACCCATATCAGGCTTTACCTAACGACAGCACAGCAAAATGTCAGAGAAGCTTCCATTCAAAGTTGGTTAGTATAAGTTTATTTGATTATCGACTTCAGATCATGCTCGATGCTGTTCTGCACAAAATCATGCAATCATGTTTTTGCCGCCAGTGCTAATTAGCTAATTCCACTCTGGTGATTTCTAATAAGCTCTCTTATAGACTCTCGATAAAGCGTACGATTCTCTGCAAAAGGGTCCTGAGTTGTATTTTTGGTCGAGCATGAATTGTTGCAGATCTTGCTAGTGCTTATGTATCACATGGCAGTAGAGGCGTCATTGTCAGCGCTGCCTTGCACGAGACGCACTATTGCAATCCCACCCCCATAAAATCACCGTTCGCGCACTTAATATGTCTAGTTTATTATTATTATAGCCATTTTGTGCTTGCTCACAAAGTATTTGATTTGATTTTATATCTTAACACCTGTCAAACAAGCTAGCGTGGTTCCATTCGTGAAGAAGAAAGTTTGGAAGTTGTAGTTTTTTGCGTGCACTGTAGAATCTCCATGCTATGAGATTGCCTGCACTGCTGGACTACATTTCCCATAATGCAGTAGTCAAACGTGCCGCCACTTTTCGTTGAGCGTAGCCATTCATTTGTGCGAATCGGTTCTTTTGAACAGTATAGTGAACAGTTCATAAAATGGCTCAGTTGCGCTTTACGTAATCACGTGGACCCTGACACTTCCACTTTAAAATAAGGAAACGTTTGATTGGGTTTTTCAATCATGTTTTATTAATAGCCGTTATAGTAATTTTGTGCATCTCAGTTAGAACATAGTCATTTAGAGCCTAAATGCGATTTGCATATACATTTAACAATATTAAACTTAATTTACGGGCTGATTAATTAATTTATCTACTGACTACAAAGTATAGGCACTTTAAAAAAAAAATACTGCGTTTCGTTTGCATGCTAATAAACATCACAAAAGTCATAAACATATTTCCAGTTCGTATCAATGAAACCCTCGGTTCACTCCAAATGGTTTTGTGAATCAGTTCAATCGATTCATTGAAAAGGTCCGGTTCAAAAGAACGGTTCCTTCTGCTCGTGGTTGAACAAACATTAATGTTAGGCGCTAAGCTGTACTTTGAGTTGAGTTTGAGTTGCACGCCAGGACTTGGCACCTGTCACTCAGGCAGTCTGTTGTTGTTTTTCAGCAAACTTCTCTGATGTGCTCTGTGCAGATAAGGCTCAAGT